GCATGCCAACGTCGTATCGTTTCCGTAAACTGTCTCACGAATTAATAAAAAAGTTAGAAATAATTAAGAAAATGGCTGCAAGGTCTATATGCCACAAGATTCCCCCACTGAACTCTTCAAACGATTTGAACCTCTACCTCTAGCAAAAATGTCACAAATTGCAAGGCTCAAGTATTTATATGAACTAGCAAACAACTCTTTCAATATTCCTGAAGATAATTTTTAATTCCTACTTGTAAACGATTAACAAGGTATAATGGCAGTAAACCTTTCGAAGAGTTTCCATCTCACAATAATTGCTTGAAGTTTTATTTTTTCTCCTGAGCCATTAGTGAATTGAATCAATCGCCACAAAACGTCGTACATTCTATACTACCATAGTATCATTTTTTATAAACTTAGAAGCGCACCTGTCGACCCCAGACTAACACACAACTTTCATCAAGTTTTTGTGGCGAATCTTAAATCATTTTGTAATGTGTTCATTTTGTGCCACCTTACAACAATTCGGATGGGTATTAGTTGTCTTGTAAATAAAAAGATAAAAAAAATATACGTTTACAGTTTCTGATAGTAACGAATAGTGCGTGCGAGTTCTGGGAATTTCGTCATCATCCCGGAGCTAGTCGCATACTGGCATCAGCAGATAAGAAAGTCCAAGAACGAATTGCGAGGCAAGAAGCATGATTATTATTAAATCATAGACCGAACTTCTGAAAATGTTTGCGACCATAGTACTGGTATTTCAGCAGCTAGTCAGCTACGGACTGTGCGTAAGTCACTGGTTTTACGATATGAACGCGCGTTTTAAAGGCACAACGCCGCCACCTTCACTGTCTTGCTCTTCGAAACATCCGCCGTTTTCGTGGCGGTTACAGTTCTGCCTAACAGGTGGCGGCACTCATCCAGGGTCTTGCAACTCGTATCGTTTCATTCCGTCCCGCGCGTAACATTGAGATCTTGAGAATACGGGCACCTACCTGCGACAGGACAACCCGGGATTACAAGTACCTGCGAAGGGACTGTCGAACCTGCCACCCCCGTTTGCTTTACATGTCTTCTGCATTCGACCGATTACCGAGGGGCAGAATATTGCACGCAGTCGGCGCGAACATGATATCGCGGGGTTTTATTTTCGCACATCGTTCAGGCGGACTCTCGCTTGTTTAGGCTAGGTGTGTCGCGCTCGTGTTACAGGGTGTTCGGGTGCTCTATCACTACCTCCCGTGTAGCTCCGGCCCAAAGTGTCAACCATGTCCCCCAGTGGGTCTGGTGTTAAATGACGCCGACAAGGGTCGGCCAGAGGGAAATTGGCGACTCCCTCGCAGGGGGGAAACTCTATTTCACATTATGATGTACTTACCACAGGAAAGGCTACAAGCGCGAGCTCCTTGCTCTAGGGCACATCTCGGCGGTACAAGCTCTCGGGCAGCTGCCAACGCTGTGCGGAGGGCAGGCTCGTCTGCTTATCGCACAGGGGTTGCGATGATGTCCGAACGGTGAGCTCGGATTGGCTGATTGAAATAAAAAAAGAATAGTAAGCAGACCTTAAGGCATTTAGCATTGAGGTGTACCCCCTATCCTTCTAATCGGAACCAATCAGAGCTCTGCGTCGTTCTGACGTCACCGCAACTCCTGCGCTAGAAGCAGACGACTTGCTCTCCGTATGAGCTCCCGCTTTTAGCCTTCGCTGCGGTACAACATAAGGTGTAACGGAGTATACATGGGCCGGCTTGGCTAGAACAGCGTCTCAGATAAGACTGGTGGCAGAAAGCACAGCAAAGGCTGGGGCGTGCGAGCGTCTTGAGACGCGGTTTGCGTCCCGCTCAGCTCGTGCGCTGGCTTGGGCAGATTGTTTCTAGCAAGCTGAGCGTCGATTTTTAATCGATGCCCAACCCTATTTTATATACAGCATTATAATAGAAATAGCATATAACATCACGCTGATTTACGAGTCCCATTTCTATTTATGGAACTATGAAGCTCCGTCAAGGTCAGTTTGTGACTAAAATGTTAATAAAACGTACTGCTAAAACTATGGTGTTTGAGATAGAAAGAAACTCTTTTTGCGGTAACAAACTATCAGCCTTGGCGGACGCCAAGGATTGCAAGATATACCAATTAGCAAGATGATTAACTAAAACTAACTAATTATTTTTATTTCGGGAAAATAAGCATATGGCTCCACTGAGAAACTTGCTAAGCATAATCGAAAACGACTAAGTCAGCTCTTTTTAGAAAGAGAGAAGGCAGGGGCAACATTTTACGGCGTTCTGAGCACTCAATTTGGACCCGTTTCTAGGTTTCGGTTTCTTATCGGAGCACATTTCTGCGCCTGCGTTCCTGCTCTCCAGTGCCCGAGGCGTGCAACGCACGTGCGCCATACTTCCCTCCATCCTTTAGTCCGTGTCACTAGTTGCGTGCAATGCAGACGAAGGCAACGCCAGGCGAGGGGAGAAATGGGCAAGCACTAAGAAGGCTGGGGACGAAGAGAGAACCCTCATCTCCTCTCTACCGTTGCTAGTGCTCTCCCTTTCTTCCCTCGCCCTCTCTTAACCTCCTCTCCCGTCCCGCCTTTCAAGTGCTCGCCCTTTTTCTCTTCGCCTGGCGTTGCCTTCGACTGCACTGCACGCAACTAGTGACACGGTGTATACAAGAGAGTTGAGGCGGTGGCCTTAACTCTCTCGTAGGATGGAGGGAAGTATAGAGGGGCGTAAATGTGATTATAATGCAATTAAATGCAAAGGTGCAAGCAGGCTGGACAAGACTAACGAAAATACTCCCTGGAGGGATCTATTTCTCATCGGGCGCAAATATGCCCTCCGATGAGAGACCGAAACCTAGAAACTCGTCAAAAATTGAGCGTTTGGAACGACACTAAATGCTGCCCCTGCCTTATATGTTTCTAAAAAAAGCTGATCTAGTCGTCTTCGATTATGCTTAGCAAGTTTCTCAGAGAAACCTTATGTTCAATTTTACGAAATAAAAAGAAAACTAATTAGTAAATTTAGTTAATCATCTTGCTAATTAGTATGTTTTTGCGATCCTTGACGTCCGTCAAGTTTGGTAGTTTGCTCCCGCAGTTTCTTTTTTTATCTCTATTTTATCTTATTTCTTTTTATTCTTAAAAGCTTTCGCGGAAACACCCTGTATATAGGCTTTGCATTATCATGTGGTGGACTTTTATTCTTGCACGACCTAAACGAGATAGTTGGATGATGAGGTGACTTGTAGTGTCATGGACATGACAGATCGGGTAATTGTGGCTCTTTTTCCTTCTGTTTTTATACGGCACAGGAGGTTGTTTTGGTGTAAATGGACAAAGGCGGCCGACTACAACGATAAGTCCTCTGGCAGCACCAGAAACTGGAAGCGCAAAGTGCTATCAAAAATATTGCAAATTTAATGCCGTATTGTGTCAAGAGCCGGAATCCAAAGACCGTATCGAAATATATTACTCGCATCATGTTTGTACAAAAACAAACATATTAACGTCTTTGCTCCAGAAATAAATGTCGAATTTTATAAATATCGCTTAAGTAATTATACAATGCCTTAAAAGAAGAAAAACAGTTTTCGCTTTCCCAGAGAACACGACACAACGAATTAAGGCGAACAAGGGTATGCTTACCAAAATTCCCTGCTCAGAATCTTCTCTCCGATTAAGAACTTGATGGCATTGACAGTTTACCCTACTTTTTCTAGCCTCTCCGCTTTGCTGAGGTCACTCACCCGATCTGGCCTTTTTGACCTTGCGCACATTTTAAATTATTGAGTGTTTTTTTCACCCTGTAAATAGGTGTACGCGTGATGCAGTCTAACGAAGTGACACGTAGTCACAAATAGTAAAAGAACTATCGCTAACCCGAGCTATAAGAACCCGCAAACTGCGCCCACTTGTTGAGGACGTTGCAAATATATGTGGCCATGATTCATTCATCTCGTTGTGTCGTACCCGAGGAACTGGAATAACGGGACAAATTCTATCTCCGAACGAAAGAGCAAGGCCGACAAAGACCCCGCGTCACAAAACATACCATGGTCATAAACGTTTTACTAGGCTGATAGCTGAGAACAAGCCTACATCAACGACCACGTCTTTTATCCTTGTTTTTCAATCTACCACCTCTTTCGGGTAGGTGGTGTCGCAAAGTGATTATGTGACTAGCGACTGAGCAATCACCGCAAAAAAAAGAAAAAAGACAAACGGCGCAGTCACTATATCCCGTGCTCACAGCAGTAAGCGAGCCCACACACGCTCACACAAATAGCCTCCGCTTGATTATCCCACATGCCACAGGCGGCACTGACGGCATCACGGTGGCGGTAACAACAAAGAATAAAGATCATGAAAAAAAAAATCGAAACTAAAACAGAAAAAAAAAAAGAAAAGAAACAACGGAACTAATGCTTAAGAAAAACCTATTTGGAAGTGGGGTCGCGAACGTAGTATGAAAACGACAGAAATCAGCTGCACTCTTGGACTGAAACGGACCGCAGCTAACGCTACGAGCCATTCCAGCCAATCAAGGGCCGAGATCGTATCCCGTGACCGCGTTCCGCATGTGGCTGTGCCCAACCGGAACGGCGCGTGACACCCCCTCAGCTTCTGATTGGCTACCCTAGCTTGTGGCGTCCCCTGCAATCCGTGTGCGGGTGAGAGGTGAATCTGGCGAGTAGGAGGCGGGCAGGTAAATGACGTCACGTGACTTCAAGGAGAATGCACGACGAAAGAAAGAAGGAGCTAAAGAGATAGAAAGATGTGAAGGGTGGAGAGGAGGGGTGCATTCGCCGAGAGCAACCATGCCCCCCGGGTGATCCTTGCTTGCATTCGAAGCCGTTGCGCGGAAACGAACGGGTCGGCGCAGTCCCTGCGAAGTTTTTGCGTAAAGTTGGCGAAACGGTTTTGAACAGGGTGTTACTTTGTTTTTCTTGTTGTTTTTATTGTGCCTCTGGAACGTGGGAGCGCCGTCTCTGGCGGCTGCCGCAGTTGTCTGGATTTGTGAGCCGACGAACAAGATGGATTTCAAAGTGCTCTGGCTGATCAGTTCCTTCTGGAGTAAGTTGTTTCTTTATGATTCTGTTTGTCCTTATTACTTTTTTTTTAATTTAAAGAAAAAGTTGCCAAATTTAACATGCTTATGGTTTTGTAGTTAGCACATTCTCAGGAATCAATAAAATTGAAAAAGTGATCTTGTGTCAGTGAACTGTATCCGAGAAATATCGAGAGAACTTTACTGGACGCCCGTGATATTTTAATTTTTTAATCGGACTCAAAGGATTACTACATTTTGAACAAAATGCGGGAACATTTCTAATGCTTTGAGGTGAAGAAGTGGTCCGTGAAATCCAAGAGCTTGGAGCTAAATATTCGATTCTTGACAAGTTTGAATTGGGTACGCCATATCTTAGGTCGTTCAAGTCGTATTCTAAGGCTGCAGCAATGGCAGATGTCTAAGATGAATTGCAGTACTCCTTGCTAACTTTTTAATCAACAACTGACCTCGAAGGAGCTTAATAGTTCTATTAATAAAAATGAAACAACTCGTAAATCAGAGTGATGTTAGATGGTCTTAGGTCGTTCCAGTCGTATTCTAAGGCTGCAGCAATGGCAGATGTCTAAGATAAATTGCAGTACTCCTTGCTAACTTTTTAATCAACAACTGACCTCGAAGGAGCTTAATAGTTCTATTAATAAAAATGAAACAACTCGTAAATCAGAGTGATGTTAGATGGTCTTAGGTCGTTCCAGTCGTATTCTAAGGCTGCAGCAATGGCAGATGTCTAAGATGAATTGCAGTACTCCTCGCTAACTTTTTAATCAACAACTGACCTCGAAGGAGCTTAATAGTTATATTAATAAAAATGAAACAACTCGTAAATCAGAGTGATGTTAGATGTTATTTTTATTATATTGTTGAATGAAATAGTGAAGTAGTCTCAAAACATAGAGTCTACGCAAAACCCTAAACACCGAGAATGTGAACCACTCTACTGAACTAAAAAAAGTAGGAAACCACAAATCTATTTCAAGCTGAACATTTTGTAAGCACATGAACTTACATTTAGTACGAATGATTGAATATTTTCATTATTTTTCCGTACTTAAGTTTGCAACACTATCCCACATGCAGCTATCTCAGTCCATAGACTGAGATATGAGTGTGTGTGTGTGTGTGTGGGGGGGGGGGGGTATTTAGCTAGTGAAGATTTTTAGTTCATTGACTGAGATCCTCACTACCAAAGTACGCCAGAAATAAACAATTGATAATAACCAGGTTTTCTGGATACTGGATGGGCCAGCGGAAGTGTCCTTTTAATATGGTCGTCTGCTGGTCTTTCTATGTAAACATAAGTATTACGAGACTGACAAAGTCATTAGGCACGTTTCTTACTATTTCAAAATCTTGTTTAGTTCACACACACACAGTTTTGAAACACTAAATATATCGTTGCTTTAAGCACTACTACTAAAAGATGTAGCACATTTTTTTATGATGCTTTTTTTGTTCTTGTTGCACGAAAAGGTTATAAAAAAATTCATAGATACACTCTTTTCTTTCAACAAGTTCCCCATTAATCCTCAAGCTTAATCAAATTCCACGATGGCTATCCATAAAGCTTTCCAAGCTTGTATGATAGCGCAGGCCCAATTATCTGGCAGACGAGTTTGACGGACGTTTCCGCTGATTTAGTCTACACATTGCACAGACATACGTTTTCTTCCCAGCATTTAGAACGGCAAGAAGAACCGTAATTTTGGTACTGATTTCCGCTCTTGTTCTGGGAAAGTGGGCACTAAATTAGCATAGATCTGACTCTTTATCCTCGACAGGAGCACTAATCTAACAGAGGCGTGGCCATTCGAAACCTTAACATGCGTAACTCCTGATTAAGATAAGCATGTAGTTTTATATTTTCCCAGAATATACGCCTTGTCAAGGAGAAGCAAGGCAGAAATAGTATAGCCTCATTTTTCACTTATAAAACCAAAGAGCATGCGCCGAGATGTATATAGTTAAAGCACATTTTGAGTCGGAAAATATCATAATAAGATATATACTTCGAAGCTTATATAGTAACAGACACCATAAAGAAACTCAGGGTGGGGCTTATTGGGTTCACACTTCTTGCGTCGTGATTTGTTCCTTCTTACTGGCTCGTTCCGCCATCTCATATTCTGCAAATCAATAATAACGAATAATTCTTAAGGTGTCGGTGACTCCAATGGGACCGGTTGGCCGCAGCAGCAGAGTTCACATTGGCGAGCGGCGCACCATTATGAGAGCACACTAAAATCTGATTCAATACATCAAGCATTGAAAGAACATCGTAGAGTACTCTAAAGATACTTCGACGCATTGTTTGTATGACAAAAATGGTGCATTTGTTATAATGATAGTGCATTTATTTATTTTCTCGAAGACGGGTGCTGAAATTGCTCCGATCTGCGTAACCGACGCGGTAGTGCCCTTGAGACTTGGCTAAAAACCTCATAATAACAAATATGACTCGTTTTATTGCTTCGTTATGCACCGTAACAATTAATATTCAAGACTAAAAACATGCGGTAGACGATGTTCCAAGGTCCTTCGTATGGTTTCATCTTGTTTAGCGGGATTCAGATCGGCTGACAACGTAAGGAACGCAGAATGCGGCGAGTCCCGATCATCTTCTCGCTCCTTAGTCAATGAAATAGCAGTATTATACTATTATATTATTATATTAGCCGATAGTATAACTATGCTGAAAAACGAGGCAAGAATTTTGGACATAATGCAGAGCGCAAGTTCGTCTGCTGACGTCATCGCAACTCCTGCAAAACAAGCAGACGAACTTACTCTCCCCATTATATCCAAACTTTGCGTTTCTTGAACTGTAAAAGACCACTGCGTGACAGTGCCACACAAATCCTTGATGATGACCACTGTTTACGTATAGGGCTTAGCTAAACCGTTAATTCAGCCGCTACACTGTAGCCCGTGATGCACTCAACTCTTGGTTCGTTATTGATGATTATGTCAATCATCAATGGCAGAGACTCGTTTTTCGTAGGTTAGACCTTCGGCGCATGCTCCGTTTGACAGTCAGCGCCACCACCTCCACGTGACGTCATAAACATGAGCTTGTGTATGCATATATAAGTGAGAGGGGCGGCGAAACAACCAACTTTCACACAGTCCGACCATAAACGCTCCTTGGCCAAGAGCATCCCAGCAACGCTATAGAATTTGGTAAACAACGGCGACTGGAGAAACTTGCAACTTGAATACATGTATATACCAATACAACATTCCTCGACACTCGTTACGTCACAGCTCGCCGCAACTCAACCATCTCGCGCGGACAATGGCGTTGCATGGCACTTCCATTACGACCCCCCCCCCCCCCCCCCCTTTTCTTCCTCCTTCTCTTCAATCCCGAGAAACCCGACTCTTAAAGACGTCGTTTTCTCTTGCGCGTTTCTCTTTTCGCTTTTTTTTTTCGAAATTCTTCGTGTCAATCGTTCCAGTATTACCTTCTTTTATTTCTTTTTGTTCCTCGGTTCTCTTCAAGTCGCGACATTTGCTTTCCGTCACAGGCAGCTGCATACACTCCGTTTCCCATTACGATGAACAGCAACGGACGCTACGAGCCGTCTGAGCCAATCCAAATACTCCTGTGGGTATCACGTGACCCTAAGAAAGAACGCAGCGACGCGCTGGGCGCGCAATCACGTGATAGGTTCGCTGCGCTGGATTGGCTTGGATCGCTTGTACCGCCCCCGCTGCAGTCCACCATAAAGGTGAAACGGAGTACACACAATCCCTACTTTACCGAAAGAGTGCCTGCGTGTATCTGTGCGTATGTATACCGTATCATTTTACTTTCGCCCTTTTCCGGAAAGGACAATGTCGGGCGAGCAAAAGCCGCGTATGTTCTATAGTGTAGCCAAGCGCACGGCCTGAGACAGAAGGACGCCGGAAGACGGAAACGGTAAATGTCTTCTGCGAGCTCGGTGAACCGCCACAGTCCGGTTTCCGCGCAATGATTGTGTACTGCCGTGTCCAATGCTTAAAGGCTGGTTCACACAGGCATCGCAGCGCCAAATCAACACTAGGTACAGCGCTGCATCAGTAAGGTCAGTAAGTTTTACCTCCTAGTGGAACTTTCTGGTTTACTGAAGGAAATAAAAGATGCTGTATTCAAATGAAAAGTTTGGAGTCTACTATTTCCCGTGAGCACGACACTTTTTGATTAAGTCCCCACCAGTGGCGATACACTTCCGCAAGCCGGTAAAATAATGAGGGCCTGTAGTTGGCGTCAGCGGTGCACTGCATTGGTGACCACTTTGTCGTCGAACCTCAAGTGTGTATGCCGTCAGATGTTCCTTTATATTGGTAAACAGCCAGAAGTCTGATGACGAGAAGTCTGGGCTGTATGGGGTGAGTGAGGCAAACAATGTCGAAACAGCAGCCCCTGCAGAGCGTCGTTGGTGCCGTCAACCGCCTCCCTTATTCTTCTAAGACGGCATGCAGAGACTATAATGCACCAGTGGCGGAAATGCGTCGCCGATGGTGAAGAATATATCTAAAAGTGATGTGTTGCTGGGAAAGAAGAGGCTCCAAGCTGTATTTTGAATGTGACACCTTTTGATTCCATCGCTCAATGAAAAAGATGCAGCCCAGAAGACTGAACTTACTGATCACCCCTCGTATATCCAGTATGCTCACAGAATGCGCTGAGGTTGCACCATGGTGCAAGTGTGAACAGGCCTTAAAACAGGCGCTTAGGTACACTCTAAAAAAAAAAGCCCGTGCGCCTTCTTTCCCGCACAACACTCGGAGAACCAATCACCGTAACTTACGGAGCCAGCTCAGCGAATGACAATGCTGAAACATATGTTTAGACCAAAAAACGCAGTCTGAGTTGTGACATTAAGCAATGCAAGTGTGACGTTTTGCATTGCTTAATGTCACAACTCAGACTCCGTTTTTTGGGCTAAACATATGTTTCTGCATCGTCATTGGCTGAGCTGCCTCCGTAAGTTGCGGTGATTGGCTCTCCGAGGGTTGTGCG